TTTATTAAAATATCAAGAACGCGAGTTATGCAATATGTAGATCAATATGTAAATCTGCCCCGCTTTAAGGGACCCCCATATTTGGTAAAATCCCTGCGAAAGGGGTATATGTGTAACATTTTGTCCATCATCCAATCAGATAAAATTTGCTTTGATAGTAAAGCGGGAACGATAGGAAAGTAGAAATACGTGATTATCAACTGTCGCAATCGCTATTGAATTCTTTTATCGAATCTCTTATCAAAATTCTTATCGAAGTTCTTTTATTGAAATTTTTTACTATGGAACCTCCAATTGTCTATTATGCTCGTTCAGAATACATTGAAACTGTAAGGATTTATATTTTTCAGTTTGTGTATACAACAGGTCTTTTTACCTTGTTTACGATTTAAATAGGATACTGGTAACAAAGTGAGCCGTAAATCTGTAATTTGTGGGAGTCAAAACATTATACTCGGAGGGAAGGTATATATGTGGAAGTTGATAAAGCCCTTTTATAGCTACTGGGATATTAGATTATTTTTAAATAAATTTACTTTTGTTCATTCAGACCATTATTCAAACTGATTGTGTAATTCGTGGCGATTTGAGACGTACTGGTGGTGGTCATGCGGTAGTCGTGGCCATTGGAAGATACTGTCTTTTAGCTAAAGGGAGCATTATTAGGCCTCCTTATAAGACATATAAAGGGTATGAATACTTTATTCCTATAATTTAGGAGAAAATGGATTAAACCTTAATTATGTTATAATAGAATTTTTAGTTATTATCCTATGAAAATCGGAGATCATGTCACTATTGGCGAAGGAAGCATTGTTGAAGCAGCAACTATTGGATCATTTGTGCATATTGGAAAAAATTGCGTTATTGTAAGTAAAGAATTTATTATTATAAAATTTTATCGTTGAAAGCTAGTTTTGATTGTTAATTATCGTCTATAGGGAAGGTTTGCAATAATAAAAGATTGTTGCAGAATTGAGGATAATACTGTCATACCACCAAACACTGTTGTACCTTCTTTTTCGATTTATGAGGGATCTCCTGGTATGATCTTTTTTTCCTATAGTTTATACTTATTTCACCTAACTGATTTTATTCTCAATTTTTAGGTGTATTCGTAGATGAACTACCTGAATGCGTACAGGATCTTTATGAAGCTAGGACAAAAGACTATTATGCTAAATTCCAGTCTAAAGATAGTTGAGACGAGGATACTCCTCAACAACGGCATCAGCTAGGCATAACTACAGAGGAGGATAATGATGCCAATGTAACTTTAATAAATATGCTATTATTACTCTTTGTAATTATTCAAATATGGCTTATAAATAAGCATTTTATGGCACATCATACATGAACACGGAAACTTCAACTGAAGCAACACCTCAACCGACAACAAAAACCACATCTATTGATAGAAAAACCCTTTTTAATAATATAACTTAATATAAAATTTTTTTATTCAAATAAATTAATTATTAAATTCATTTAATTATTTGTTCCGTAAATTTGTCGAAATGAATTCGGAATATTAGTTTTTATACCAAATATATGGGTGACGCCAAGAGAAAACCAGGAATTCTAAAAATAGACTTCCATCCACAGCGAAGTTGCGGGGTTTT